TCATCTAAAAAGCAATCTTTTACTATAAAAGATAAATAATGATATCTATAATTATTAAAAAAATGTTTATTTAATTAAAGAAAGTTACGGTTGATTGAAACAACTTAATTAAAGGGTCCAAAACACTTAAAATTATATAATTTAATTCTTTAAAACATAACATCAGAGTCTAAATATGATATTTCTATTGTCTTAGTTATGTGATTTTGGTCCATTCGTTCTAATTTTAATAAATTTAATCCATGTATTTTAAAGATAAAGAATATCAATGTTAAAAATTTTCTATTAAATTGATTATATGAAATTTTTGTTGATAAAGTAGCATGTTAATCTGTTTATAAAAAAAAAAAAAAGTAGCAGGCTAATCTGATTTCTTTTTTTTATCAGCATATGACATACATTAGTAAGGAAGAACTTTATTTTTAATAAAAAAATATAAAAACATTTTTTAAAATTTTTTAAAAAATAATACACTGCACTGAACCCTATTTTTAGCTAGGTATTCATGGACAATTGCCATATGAACTGCCTAACAATGAATGAATCTAATTCTTGGCTTGACTTGGGATCAAGCCAAATCCTATTAACATCATCGCCATCTCACAATGTTTCCAACAAAATTCTATCACGCAATTACACTTGTAAATCGTCAACAACAATGCCATGGCCGCCCTACCTCTATAAAAATCTGCGCACTTTCACTCCGAAACATCGCAAACCCAGCAACAAAATATCAGTAGAGCATAGCCAACTTGTTCACCAAAATGATGAGTTCCTCAAAACCTTACCATCCCTTGAAATCTTCGTGAATCTGGAGTCTTTGCAAAACTTAAAATTTTCATGAATCTGAATCTTTGAAAATTTTGCATCATTTATAAACTTTTAAAATTTTTACGAAACTTGAAATTTTTGTAAATCTTTACAAATCTTGACTTTTGACAAATTTTGAAATCATTACGAATATTTTGCGAATCTTGGAGTATTTGAAATTTTTTATTTTTGTTATAAAATCTTGTGAATATTTATTGTTTGTGGACTTTTGAATTTTTAAATTATGAATATTTGAATTTCAAATTAACTAAAATTTTTCTGAACCTAAGTGAATGAATGTCTTTTAACATTATCTATTTTAAAGTTGTTTAGCGTCTAAGGAGCCAATTTCCTATTTTAAAATTGTTTAACTTTAGTATAGAAGAGTCCATTTCTTAATTTAAATTTGTTTATCTTTGTATAGAAGAGTTTAGTTTATTAAATATCTATTTAGAGGAGTTATTAGAACTTTTAAGTTTTATGCCTATGTTTAGATAAAGTCTTTAAAATTTTTCAAAAATCGCATCCTCTTAAAATTACTTGAGTTGAACCAGATTCAATGGTTATTTATATCTTTACATCAATTCTATTTCAAAGGAATATGTAAAGAAGGGGTAACTGTAAACATCCTATTTTGTCCAGGGCCTACATCCAAATTCTCGATTTCGATTTTGTTGAAATTATCGAGATTTGAGGCCAATATATATTACTTTGATGTGGGCTTTGCCCTAACAAATATTTTATTTTTATTTTTATTTGTTTGTTTATTCTTTAATAAAAACTAAATAAATAAATAAATAAAAAAGAAAATCAAACCGAATTTTCTAGAAGTCCTATACAAGAATCAAGAAAGAATTTTTGAGATTTTTTCTTAACCTATATGAAATAAAAAATCAAACAAAAAAAGATCACAGAGTATCAAAGCTATGGTTTTTATTAAATTGATTTTAACTAAAGTAAAGGGATTTAAAAAATATTTGAAAATCCTTGACAATCAATGGAATCCTAAAATTTTTTACTAGAAAATTCTTATAAATTGTTCTAAGGCAGACAAAGAACACAAAAGGAGAAAAAATTTATACAAAAACTTTTAAGAAAAAAAAAGATACAATTTCGGGTAGTAAGTTTTTTTTTTTTTTTTTGAATTCTTTGAAAAATCTGAAATTATGAGGATATATTCTAGTAAGCCACGCAACCTAGCTACTTAGCCAAGCCAACTTCAGGTTTTTTTTATTTTATTTTTATTTATTTAACTATTTTATTTATTTATTTATTTGATTATATATTATTCTTTAAATATGTTTTATAAAAACATATTTAAATAAAAACATTACTAATAGATTGGAAGGTAATCATTTTTTTTAAATAAGATTTTACTAACATATCGAAAAACCTTATAACTTTTTTTATTTAAAAAAAAAATAAAAATAAAAAGCTTTACTAACAGATTGGAGAGTTAATATTTTATTTTCAAAATAAAGTTTTACCAACATATTGGAAAGCCTTATAATTTCTTTAAAAAAATCAAGTTTAAAAAATAATAAAATAATATTTCTTGTCTTTTTATATATCCTATCAACAGATTGGAGGATAATTTTTAACAAAAAATCTTATCAACAGATTAAGGGATATTTCTAATTATAAACCTGATTTATAAGTATTTATTTCTAAAAGCAAAATTAAATGAATTTGACGACGTAACCTTTTCAAAACTCGATAAATATTCTTCTTGAATACCACTGAGGTGAGAAAATATTCTTAAATTATTACCAATATATTGGAGTAATTTAAGAAAAATTTTTAATATTAAGTTATTTGATAAATTTTAAATATATTTTAAGGTTTAGATAATTTGAAATCAAATTGGTATGATCTTTTGGATGGGTGTTGTAAATGTACTATAACTTTTCTCATACATAAACATACTATCGGACTTAAATTTTGATTTCGTATATTATAATTTACTATTTAAAAATACTTAAATTAATTTTAAAACTTCTCTTTAAGTGTGACAGATTTTGTCAAGTGACTAATCACACCTTAATAAAAAAATTGATGATAACTCATTTATAAGTCCACGAATTTATATGTTAAACAGTATAAAATAATTCTTAATTTGGCGATAAAAATAGTTTAATCCATTCAATTGTCACACATTTATAAGCTCTTTTAGAAATTGAAAGTCATGATATTCATAGACCGAAAGTTTTTTTTTTTATATATGTCAATGGTACTATTTATTTAAATTAATTATTCGAATAGACCAATTTGATTATTCTTAATAATTTATTTATAAATGTAAACAAATTTTAAAATTTTATATTTTTTAATAAAAAAATCACAATTTGAGAATACGAGAATGAATAAGTGTCGAGATTTGATTCATTTGAATTTTTGATTTGTTAAATATTATTTTTTAATGATAGTCATATAAAACACAAGCAATTGGATTAAACATCAAATTTATAGTATTAATTTAGAGAAATTATCAAATATGTGAAAATTTTTAACTCCACAATTATGGTTAAAATAATAACATATATCTGTTAGTGTATATTTAAAAAATAAAAAAGTTAATTTAAAAAAAAAGTAAAATATGTATCATCATCTTAATCTTACTTGTGGAGTTAAAAAAACTCCACTTTCAATATATCAGATAATTTTTTATTAATTTATACTTTATCAAAATGTGTATACTATTAAATAAATAAAAAATTATTTGATACACTATCATTAGAGTTTTTTAATTCTACAAGTAAGATTAACAAAATGACATATGTTTCACTTTTTTAAATTAAGTTTTTTTTTTATTTTTTAAATAGATACTAAAAGATATATATTATCTTATTAACCTCACACGTGAAGTTAAAATATTTTATTATCATTATATTTGATAATTTTTAAAAATAAATATATATGTAAATATACATATGTAGTAATATCAACGTCTTTTTTATATAATTAATTTAGGAAAATTGATATCTTATAATTTTTCAAATAAATATATATATGTAAATATACATATATAGTAACATCAACGTCTTTTTTATATAATTAATTTAGGGAAATTGATATCTTATAATTTTTTTTTAATATTTTTATTAAGGTGTGGGTGCATTTATGATGGTAGGTATTTATTTAATGTACGACGCTCACATTGCCGGTCATTTCTCTTAAGCCCTTGGAAGAAAATTCAGTGGAATAAAGTCCAAAATTTCTTAATTAATGCATGCTGGCTTAAATTTCCTTCATTGCCATGTAAGAACTTTTTTCTATTTTGGTGAAAAAGATTCGAAGGTGGATAAGTTTTAAGTTGCAAACTTAAAACTTGGGATTAAACTTTTCAACTTCAATTGTCACTTTCCCTCCTGCAAGTTGCAATTAATTGTTCATTTGGCTAGCTATAAGTGGACTCTGTGGACTATGGACAGCGTGCGCTGGACTTGTCTCGAGTCGGCAAAAGTAGACAATAAAAGATAAATAACGAAAAATATTTTTAAAAATTAAAGTTGTTCAAAAAATTTAAACACAATTACGAAGTTGTTCAAATCTAAGTATCAAGGATTAAGTTCATATTTAATGTATAAAATAATAAATAGTATAAAATGATAATTATTTATATTATATTTAATTTATATATAAAAATAAATTTATAGTGAGAATTAATTATATTTTTAGTATAAAATAATTTAATTCACTCAAAATAAAAAAAATTATTTTTAATTCATAAGATTAAATTTATATATCTTATTATATTTTTAAAAATTATATCAATAATTTAAATTATATAAATTTTAAAAAATAATATTTTTGATCAATCAATAAATTATTCTATTCTAATTATTACATATATCAAATATAAAATAAAATTTATTATTTAATCTAATTATATTTATAATATTATTTTATCATATTTTCTGTATATTAAATATATCATAAATCCATAATGTCATGCACTGAGCATTTTGATTTAGCATATATTTTCTAATTAAAAAACTAAGTTGAATTTTCTCATTTCTTAATATATAAAAAAAAAAAACATATCACCATAGATTGAATCCCATTTTCTTAAGTTAAAATATAATTGGCCTTATCTTCATTAAGATTTCGAAGTGATTAAGTAGCCGCCTTCACCTTTATTAAAAGCAATGTGCCACTTGCCATTATTTCTATCAAGCCAAAAGCCACCCTAATTTCTATATAAACCTCCCTTCATTATAAACAAATCCACACGTAAAAGCCAACCATGAGATGCTTGACCAATTTCCAAATCTCCTCAATCCTCTTCTTCAGCATCTTTTTCATTTCCACCCAAGCAGCTCTTTTTGAAATCCGCAATGAGTGCTCCTACACTGTCTGGGCTGCAGCCTCTCCTGGAGGTGGGCGCCGCCTAGACCCATGGCAAAGTTGGACCATCAATGTGCCTGCTGGCACAGCCATGGCTCGTATCTGGGGTCGAACCAACTGCAACTTTGATGGCAGTGGTAGGGGTCATTGCCAAACTGGTGACTGTGGTGGACTCCTACAGTGCCAAGGCTGGGGTGCTCCTCCAAACACCCTGGCCGAATATGCCCTTAACCAATTTGGTAGCATGGATTTCTATGACATCTCCCTAGTTGATGGGTTTAATATCCCCATGGTGTTTGGTCCAACTAATGGTGGTTGTCACAACATCCGATGCACTGCAGACATTAACGGGCAGTGCCCTAATGAATTAAGGGCTCCCGGTGGGTGCAATAACCCATGCACAGTGTTTAAGACTAATGAATTTTGTTGCACTCAAGGGTACGGAACCTGTGGGCCGACCAATTTCTCAAGGTTTTTCAAAAGCAGGTGCCCTGATTCGTACAGTTACCCTCAGGATGATCCTTCAAGCACCTTTACTTGCCCTGGTGGTGCCAATTACAGGGTTGTATTTTGCCCCAGAGGCTCTCCTCATCTGGAGATGGTTGGAAGCAAGAGCCAAGAGTAATGGTCTCTCCCTTCTTGGAGTTAATTGCAATGCCTCGGCGCTTGGAAATAAAAAAATAAAGTTTTTAGATAATGAATATGTTGTCGTGTTTGTATTTCTTTTGTTTCCCGATTGTGTTTTATTTGATGCAACGGCGAAAAGAAATAAAGATATCCTTGTTTGATTCATTCTATTGTGCCAAATATTTGGTTTTCAACCACACAAAACAACAACCAACCTCAAAGTTGAGTAGAGGAGATAAGGGGTGAGGTAGATTTATGAAGAGTCTATGCACAATGCTTTTGTGAAATTTGTTATTCTTTGAATTTAAAGTTTAATTCAATTAATTAATACATTAATTTTAAAAAAATAAATTTAAAATTTAAATTTCAACATTTATAATTTTTTTTTTCATCCAATGCTACTTTTGAAGAAGAATTGTTATTGTTTTGGTACAATATGTTCCAAAATTTCTATGTTCTAAAATTGACATATACTAATACTATATGAAAGGCTATACACGAGGAATCTGATGATTGGATGCCTATTTATGATACCAAACTTTAGCATATTTTCTTGGTCTTTGGTCGTCTTTCGTGATAAGGGGACCTAACATATCCTAACTTTTGAGCACATGCTCTAAAGTTTTAAAACTTTACACATGATCGATCCTTATTTTATGTCTCTCAATTATTTATCATATCTTTCGGTAAACTGATATTTTATGACTCGACAGAAATTAAGAAGCAAGCTAACAGTACTTATGGGAAGATTTCATGTGTTAATTAGTAGTATTAAAAATATTTACCATCCCATTCAGCTAAAAAGAGAGGAAAAGAAGAAAAAGATTAGCTTGATGGTGAGACTATTATAGGATGATTGGCATAACTTTTTCTGGTTCAAGGTCCTTTCATACTTTTCCCTGCGCAAATTATCTTGTCAAACTAGCTTGGCTTGAATATTATTGTAGAAATATCAAAATAAAATTAAATTACATATAAAAAAATAATATTTAATTTGATTCGATAAATAAAAGAGAAAATTTTAATATAAACTTAGAGATTACCAATAACATAAAACTCTCAAAAACAATCATAAATTTCAAATCTTAAAACAAATTTAGTTTGCACACTTTTTGCTCTTAAACGCTTGAAATACTTTTTATTTCATGTAATTCGATTTTTTTGTCAGAATTTCTTCACATTCTTATAAACTCATCTCTCTCATAAAAATCACATAAAAATTCCTATTTATTAAGAATTCTATCTATTAAATATGTTTATCATTTAAATAAATAAACACTAAAACAAACTAATTTCAATTAGAATTTAGTTCCCAATGTTAATCATTATTTTAATTTCTGAACAATGGATAATTTTGTTGTTTGATGATTAAGAAAATGACATCCATTCACTACAATACCATGTTGCTTATGAATGCATGATGATATTGATAAACGATTATCCTTTAATGATTAAGAAAATGACATCCACTCACTATATGCATGATGATACTGACAACCGGTTATCATTTGATGATTAAGAAAATGACATCCATTCACTATATGCATGATGATACTGACAACCGGTTATCATTTGATGATTAAGAAAATGACATCCATTCACTATATGCATGATGATCCTGATAAAAGATTACCATGTTTTGTTCCTTAAACACAAAAAAAAAAAGAAAAAAGGTTTTGTTCTCTATCCTCGGTTGTCATATACTTATAGGCGGCCACTTGGAGATTAAACTGATGTAGGGACTCTAGAGCCTAGAGCACATGGCTCCAAAATATTTTAATTTTCCTGTCAACAACGATTCACTGGCAAACCCATTGTTGGATCCACTTGTTCACATCAACATGAATTCACCCACAAGGAGTTGATGCAATTGGCCACCTGTCGGTCCAAATCATGGCATGCTACATAGCTGTCTTTTGAAATTCCACAGCGTACGGTGGATCAGTACAATAACATTCCACGGACCTGTTTACAGCTGACCCCCTAATTACCGGTTTCGATTTACTGTTGTCCGGACTAAAACTATAATCTCGGATTTTACATTTTTTACTGCAGATGTAAAAAATAAATGCTTATCTGGTTGTAGATGCTAATTGTTAGAACGTGTTTGTTTCCCGGTAAAAGGTTTATTGAGAAAGATACCCAAGAAACAGGGCAAAAAATATAAAATCTCCAGCATCTATCGCTCTCTGGGTCTGGGATCTGTCTCTGTCAATCAATATTCTTTCCCAGTCTCTCTTCGCTGCAAACATGCCTCAAGGAACGCTTGAAGTTCTTCTTGTTGGTGCCAAGGGTCTTGAGAACACAGATTTTCTTTGTGAGTTTTCTTTTTCTTTTAATCTGAATCTTATTGGTATTATTACTATTTGTTCATGGTCTTATTCAATTTCAATCTTGTCTACCAAGATCTGGGTACATTTTAATAGTTTTAGGCGTTTCTGTTACGATCATGACGATTTCGATCAGATCACGACCATTTAGCCAAGGATTGATCGAAGTTTTTCTTTTCACATTTATATTTCCATTGACAAACAGCGAAAAGAGTGGTTGTAGATTTATTACTTGAATCGATTGTTTATATTAGTTTGATTTTCATGCTTCGAGTTACGATCAAACATATGTAAGGGTCATTTGTGTTGAAACTATTTGGTCTGAAACCCTGTTTTTGTTGCTTATATTTGTATGTTTTTGCTAATGATTTTGAGAATTAAAATTTGGAAACCAACAGGTAACATGGATCCTTATGTGCTTCTCATTTGCCGTACCCAGGAGCAGAAAAGTAGTGTTGCATCAGGTTGGGGCTTAGATTAGTCTAAATTCAGTAACATTGTTTCTCTTGTGTTGGCTAATAGATCAACTATCATGATTCAAAATTCGTTCTTGGATTGTAAATATATAGGAACTAATAGAGTTAGAAAGAAATAACTTTCTCAGGAAAAGGGTCTGATCCGGAGTGGAACGAGAATTTTGTATTCAATGTGTCCGAAGGTGTTTCAGAACTCAAATTGAAAATAATGGACAGTGACTGTGGTTCTCAGGATGATTTCGTTGGAGAAGTAACGTGAGTATTACTAAATTCTCAAATGATTTGTGACAATTATCAGCAAAAAAACTCAAAAAGTCAAGTAAAACTTGCCTTGATTACACATATTTCATAAGATTATATAGTGAAATGCTTTTGAAGAAGAGGAAAAGATCCAAGCTTTTTTTGAAGTTCTTGTTTGAACCTTGAGCAATGAAATATAGATTTCGAACTTAGGCTCACGAGTCAGGAACTAGGTAAGTTTTTAATTAGTTAAACTTGTTTTTTTTTTTATATTTGCAGCATTCCTCTGGAGCCTGTATTTGTGGAAGGAAACCTGCCCCCAGCTGCATATAATGTTGTCAAGGATGAAGAATATCGTGGGGAGATGAGACTTGGCCTAACTTTCACCCCCGAGGTATTTTTCTTTTGCTTGTTGTCTTCAATTACATTTCCATTTGACTACTAGAAGATGAAACCAGCCTTACAGCATTCAGCATTGCTTCAACATTGATTTATAACCATCCGCAGACAAGAAGGCAAATGAGTATCAAACTCTTGATCACTCTGCTCTTAACAAATCACAAATATGAATGAAATATTTTATTCAGCTCTGCAAAGGGCTCCTTTCCGTTCCATTTTTGGGTTTTCTTTTGCCCTTTCTGAATTGAACTGGACGATTATTCTCAGATAGCAAAAATTTCCATTGCTCCATAACAGGAACGTCATACCGGGGAATTTCAAGTTGAAGAATCTTTTGAAGGGTGGAAGCAGTCTTCATACACGGACTAGGCCACTAGTGGTTTCCATCTTAATTTCTGGTTTCAAGAACTTATTCTGAAGCTTGATTTAGAACTACATTTGGTTGAATGTTGTTAATTGTGTGCTTCTTTACAATCAAATTGATTAAGTCATTTTGGACTTTTACTAATAATATTTAAAAAGTTAATAAGATGTTTTAGGCCCCCCAAAAAAATGGTGAGCATGCAACGAAAATTGTGTTAGAAATTCCTGTGGGATATATTATCTTTTCCTCAAATCATTACCATAGTGACAAATTAAGGTTAAGTTTCAAGGAAATAACCTGAGGCTGACAGTTTGATTTAAAAAAAAAATTGTTTCTCCAACAAACAGGCTTTAGGCTTTAAATTTAACGCCATGAAAATCTTAAAATAACTCAAAAATTAAAAGATACTTGGAAGGTAGATTACTGTGCTTGAAGATACTTCTTAATTCTAAAGATCATCCAAAATGATGTAATGTGACAACAAAATACTATTTGATAAACCAAAAGCTTTTTCCTTTTTTTTTCTTCTAAACGTGCATGCCAAAATACAAAAGCTAGCACACCAAGAAGTCAAAACCATGAAGGTGTCAGTTCAAACAGAATATCTAACAGGAACTTGTCTTTAGCAAACCTTTATATCTAGGACTTTACCTTGCCTGGTAATTCCTTTTCCCCTTCCTGTAAGGTTGTTAAGCACCAACTCTACTGTGAGTAGGTAAGCTTACGTTACCGGGAGGGCAGGAATGAAGGATTCAAAGGGAACTGTTGTTGCATAACAGGTTGTGCCATGGAATCTAGTGATGAAATATCGCTTTGAAAAACGTTGGACAAGCCATAATCTGGCAGTGCAAAGTTGCCATCTGTTTGGGTGCCAGAACTGCCAAACTGTTGGTGGAAGAAACTCTGAAAAGCAAAACTATCCTCAGCAGGACTAGAATCTGTAACGGTCATGAATGCAAACTCAAAGCATGGACCAGACCAAGACTTCCCAAATGGAATTGCAGATTGTAGCCCTGGCTTCTCATTATTCATTTCTGTAGGAGCAGTTTGGTTTTGATGAGTATCTTTGCTCTTGTTTGAGGACTCGACATGAAACATAGTGGCACCGTATGTAAAGTCATGACCTTCAAGTGCCATTCTCGGTCTAGTCTCAGGTTGTTGAGGTGTTTTATCTGTCAGATTCGCTGAAGTCAAATCCACATTCCGAATGGCTCTGCTATTACAAGACCTTCGAGCAGCAATTTTGAGAACTTGTTCGCTAGACAATGATTTTGCCACCAACTGAGATGCATAACCAGCAAGTCGTGTTGAAGACAGATTAGGCACACTGCCCTCCTTCTTCTTAGACCCAATTGAGTTAAACACAGTTTCTCTAAAGCTGCTATGTTCAATTCTTCTTTCAGCTAGATTCTTCTCTTGCTTGATATTAGCAATAGGCGTTGAAACAAACCATTCATTGAATGCAACCTCTGATGGTATTGCACCTGTAAGAGTCTTCATTGCAAATTCTAGGCATGGGTCAGAACAAAACAATTGTTGTAGTTCTGACTTGCTGTCACTGTCCTTATGAGTTCCCAACATTTTTGGTCGCTCTCCAAGAATTGTCCTGTATTCATGAGGCCTTATTTTATTGATTTCTGGATTGGCTGCTGCTGCAGAAGCTGGATTTGGGAGCTTGGCGTTAGGGCCAATGTTTAGCAGCCAAATTGCTTTATCCACCAAAAAACATGGTGGTTTCGGTTCATTTTTTCCAGACTTTTTAGTTGCATTCGGAATAGCTACTTCAGTGGACACTATATTGGTCACCAGCTCAGGTTCAAGCCTAGCAAGTCATTTTGACAACCAACGAGGCAAGTCAAGCTCTTTCATCTTCTTGAACTTGCTCAAGTTCTTAGTTTCTATGTTGCTTCTCTTGCTTTCCACCCCTTTTTTGCCTAGATTCTTCTCTAGCAGGACATTAGAAGTTGGAGTTGAAACAAGCCCTTCACTGGCAACATCCTTGAGCAGTATTGTACCTCTAAGAGTATTGATTGTAAATTCTAGGCACGGGTCTGAACAAAAGAAAGGCTGTACTTCTGACTTAGTGTCACTAGTCTTCTCAGTCTCCAACATTTGTGATTGCTTTCCAAGAACATCTTTGTCTTCACTGGGCTTTATGGTCTTCTTCACTGAGCCCCAATGTGATTTAATTGTTGAATAAGCAGAGGCTTGCTTTGCTACCTCTGCATTTGAGAGAATATTTAGCTGCGGAGGTGCTTCATTCTCCATAACACATGGAACACTAGCTTCATTTTGGCAAGGCTTTACAGGTTCAAGGCCATTAGCCACCACCTGAGGTTCAAGACAAGCAAGTCGATTTGATAAGCCACAAGGCATATCAAGCTCTGTCTTATTCTTGGACTTACCAAACTTCTTAGAGTTTATGTTGCTCCTCTTCTCTGTTTCACTTTTGAGCAGGTTCTTCACTTGCAGGACATCATCTGCAGCAGTAGAAACAAGCACGTTATTGGCAGAGACTATTTTACCCTGTTTTCTATTGGAAGCTTTTGGAGCTACCAAGCTGCTCCAACTTGATTTTTCTGCAGTCTCAGGATTCCTTTTAAGTGCAGTCTCTACCAAACCCTTTCTTTGAGGAATCTGAAGTATGGAAGCTGTAGCAAGCCCAGTTTCAGTATAATCCTTCTTACTCTGGCCTTTCTCAAAGGTCTCAGCTTCTAGGTCAGATAAGATACTCCCATCAGATGTCTCCTCACCTGCAGCAACATGTTTTGCATTCAGAAGCAATGAATCCCACATATGATTGGCTTGGAAACAACTTCCTGCTCATGACTTGGGTGGTTTATAAATTTTCCACTCCTCACCTCTAAAGAGTTGGCGCCTGGTGGCAGGATGCTTCACTTTCTGCCTTTTAGCTGCTGGGAGTTGCTAAAATAGACAGAAGAAATGGATAAAAACAATCAGCTAATTAAAATTTCCACCCGCATATCTCCCAAAAGAAAAAATGTGGTTCTGAAGGAAATCCCAACTGGACATTGGTTGAAAATAGAGTCTACAAACAGGTAGATGAGGCATCAAACTTGAATCACAGGTCATAAGATGATGAACCTTGACAATGAATAGTTTGCAGGTGCTTATTCGTTTCTGAATATTCCCATATGTTATCTGTAACCTAAGGAAAACCTTTATAGGAAGCTTACTTGTCTCTGAATCTCTTCCACTTTTAATATGAGCTTACTTGTCTTATCCTATTCTGCCCATAATCTTGTAGAAAAAACATGACCTTCCCTCTACTCTATGTAAATTTTAAAGCAAACTACGTCATTTAATAAATGATAATGGAATTTTAGTTCGATACAGCATGCATCATTGGAATTATGTACCTAAATCAAGCAGGTAAAAATTGGACAAGAGACAATGGAATTAGGATTAAAACGGACATAGCAACTATATGCAGAAGCTAAGTGCAAACTTACTGATTTATCTTTATTAATTAAATTTTGATCATCACCATGCTTTTTCAGTACAGAAGCATCTCTACTGATCCCTCCAGTTTCTAGATAGCGAAGAACAGCCTTTTTGGAGCGAAAAACACATCCACTAGCTGTATCAGTGTAATACTGTAGCATTCATAATTGTTACTGATCAATATTCATAAATAGTATGTATGTCCAAAGAACTACGTTAAAAACTCCATATATAAGCAGCAGTTGGTTCATTATGCTGTCAAGGCAAAGCTTGAAGCAATATGAGCACAAGAATAGGGACATACTTTTTTGGTACGTGTCATAAAATTGAGGACATGAAAAAGTCACATATGTCCATGTGTAAGAATCTAAAAGGGAGGCTTGGGGGACAGCAAGAGTTAAAGTAACTCCATACCGGATCTCTTCTGACCCCATTTGCATTCCTTCTAATCTTGACTTCCTTAATCCATCCTGCTGGTAAATCATCCACTGTTGATCTCTTAATCAAAACCTAGATTTACAAAAACCACAACAGCATATCTCATTCAGTAGCTGTAGCAATGGAATAAATTTCTGTATCTCATAAATGATATCCCAAAATGCCACTTATGTGTATTTTAATGAAGCACTTTAATGTATGCACTAAAATGCAACCAATCTCTCTCTCTCTCTAAAAACAAATAAATAGACAGATAGAAACAACAACACCAAAATGGTAGCAAAAGATTTTTTAAGAACCAAGTTTGCTTGTAGAGCACGAGGCTCTTTTCTTTTGCTTAGATTTGCTACTTTTCTGCTCTGCATGATTAAGAAATCGGAACACCTCTGGCTTGGAATGGAATCTAAATCCAGTTGATGGATCAACATATATCTGCAACAAAAAAAAAGTTCAATTAAAAATAAAATTGAGGTATTACAGAAAGAAGAAACGAGCTTAAAGTTCCTCATGTTAGTAGATGCTTCGTACATGCAACATAAGTAAATTAAAGATGTAAAAGAGAATTTCAAATAACAATCTCATGCGATATGATATCTGCATAAAAGATCTAATTCAGATGTCAATGGGGAATTGGACAAGCCATTCCTGCTTATTGAAGTGGTAGCCATTGATGTATCATGTATAGCTGCATAACAGGAATACCCAGCAGAAACGGTAAAGGGTAGTAATGGAAAAATAATCTGCCGGATTGCAGATAATACAATACTACAAATTCCATGTGGTACTAGGAGATAGAAAAGCACCATGATTCTTCTGCATAAAAGAAAATCAAATTTCATACCTTATAGTATTTCCCAATTTTTGCACCACTCTTATGGGCTTTCACCTCCATGAACCAATTCTTAGGTAACCATTCAGGATGTTCATTTGCCTTTACAGCAACCTGTATGATGATTAAATAATTAAAAGTAAAAAAAAGGGAAAAGGGCAGACAACTAATAGATTATCTAAACTCACTTTCATGTAACCATTTGCTGAGGGCAATTTCACAGATAAGACTGCAATTGTTTCTTTCATACCACAACTTCAGTTAGGAGAAAGGTAAAGGCTAAATTAGTTGTTTCAGGAGGCAAATAGATTTTGTATAATCTAACAGTATCTATTGGTTGCACTAAGAAGGAAATGGTGGAGAAAAGATGACTTTTTGGAAATGTTACCATAAATAATTTATTGTACAAGACAGGATAGCTTCTTAATAAGCACTTTAAGACTAAGTCTCTCTCTGTCTCTTTCCAAACAAATAAATAGATGGATTGAAAAAAAAAAAAATTCCCAGACAAGGTAGAAAACAAAATGGTAGCAAAAGAATTTTTTGAGAACCAACTTTGCTTGTAGAGTGCGAGGCTTTATTCTTTGGTATAGATTTGCTGCTTTTCAGCTCTACATTTTTAATAAATCCAAACACCTCTGGCTTGGAATAGAATCTGCGTCCGGTTGATGGATCAACATATATCTGCCACAAGAAAGCAGCTCAGTACAAAATAAAATTTAAATCCACAAAAAGAAAAAAGAGAACTCCTCAGGTTAGTAAATGTGTAGTCCATGCAGAAAAAAAAATTAAATCAAAGACCTAAATTGAGTTTCAAGTAATAATCGTCATTATATGTGTCTGTATGGAAGGTCTAATTCACATGCCACTGAGATACAGGACAAGCCATTCACACTTATTGAAGTGGTGGCCATGTGTATCAGCATAAAAGGAATACCCAGCAGAACCAGCTAAGAATAGTAATGAAAAAGTATCTGCTGATAATAGAGTATTACAAATCCAATGTGGTAACTGGAAGATATAAAAGCACCATGGTTCCTAAGCATCAAAGCAAAAAAAAATACCTTGTAGGATTTTCCAACTTTTTTACCACTCTTATGGACTTTCACCTCCATGAAACAATTCTTTAGCAACCAGTCAGGATGTTCATTTGCTGTTGCTGCAGTCTGCATGATGATTGAATAAAAGAATAAAACAGGAGGAAAACAAAGGGCAGTTAATTAATTAATACATTATCTAAACTCAATGTGACCATTTGCTGATGGCATTTTAATTTGCTTTAAAGTTGGCTGCTGGTCATCACATTGAGTGATTCCTGTTTTAGTATAGCAAACAAGGTCATCCTTGGTAAAGCATTTTGACTGGTTGCCAAGTTTACATAATGCTGCAATAGGAAACAATAATTATAGTAACAAAAGCATGTTATCAGATTTGGGTAAATAGACAGCTTATTTCTACATATTACCATTTGTTTTATTTAAGAAGTGGCATTCATCAATGATTTGCATTGCTCAATTATTTTGCCAAGAAGACAAGAAACAGGGAGAAATCTTGACACCTTATCATCAACTATTTAAGCCTTACCCTAAAAAATCAATGTTTCAGCGCCACAAATCACCTACATTGTTTCCTATTTTCATTTTCCTTAACTTTTTGTCACGAAAAAACGAAAAGAAAATCAGTCCAATGCCTTAAAAAATTCCCCATGCAGAACAAAATCCATCCGTCCTTACGCAAAAGTTACTGTCAACAATTCAATAAACTCCCATTTTCATGCAATGCATCACTAAAATGCTATATGAACAGAAGCAACCTCAATCCTTCAGCTTTCAAAACTTATAATCCATCCACAGGCAACCCGCATTTCTTCCACTAACCCCCGAATTCCACATGCACATATCAAGATATATCATTTGACTGCATTTCTTTCACATGCAACTAAAAACAACCGATCATCAACTAATAAAAGCTCCATAATCTTAACCTCAAACTTCAACAGTTCATATCTGCCTTACTTCACTAAAATTATTCAAAAACAGCTAGCTTTTTTAAGTAAACAATTAAATTAGAGACAAAAATAGAACCTAAAAAACCCTAAATTGAAATAATAAAAGTACAAATTCGATTATATAGTTAAATAACCGTGATTCTACGGCCTGTCTTTTGGAATTTGAACTGTAGGGTCCAGCCCGCCGGCAGCCAGTCTGGTGAAGTTTTCGCTGTCACTATCACCGGAAACTAGATTTTCCGGCGACCAATAAAATCTTTTTTTTTTTCCTGAGTAGTAGTAGTTTATTTCAGAGGTTTTGGAGTCTCTGTCTGATCAAGTAAGTAAAAAAAAGTGGAAGTGAATTGTCAACCTGCCCGACATAAGAAGACTGACGAGGATAATGCGACGGAAAATCAACACGTGCTTTTTTGTTATTTTTATTTTCAGTTAAAAATCTTTAAAACAATTAAGGTGAAAAAATTTTTTGATTCAGGTGATTTTTTACTGTCAGTGGTCTGTTAGCGGAGGTTGAGTTGGCAAATCATTTACTGTCAAACTTTTCTATTATTAAAATTTTCCAAAAGAAAACTACAAATAAAACAATTTTACCATTTTCTCTCTCATTTTATCGGATTATCTTTGATTTTTATTAAAAGAATTTAATTTTGATGTTATTTTTATAATATTATGTTAAATTAAAATTTTAAAAAAAGTTTTAAAAATTTTGAATTTCAAACTTTACAAATTTTTTTTTGAAAATTTTTATAATTTTATGTTTTTATTAAAAATAATGATTAAAGTTGAAGAATATTTAACTATTATTTAAAATTAAATCTATATACAATACACTATTTTTATTAAATTAAAAATATATATTAATTCAATTTTTAATAATATACAAACAAAAGGGTAGTTTGGGGAAAGCAGGTGAAAGGGCTTTCGGCGGTTATGTCCCTAACTAAGTTTTTGCTTATTTATTTACGAGGACGTCACTCCTTTTGTCAACCAAACACGACAGTCAAAGAAAGGGAAATTGAAGCCAAGGAAACTTCTACCAAAGCCAAAGGTGCTCTGTCTTTCTCCTTTTTACGATCTTCGGTCCGTTGATTTTCTTTTTTTTGATGAAACGATTAATAAAAAAAATCCCTTTCAAATCACAATTTTGATTGTCAAAGTCAGGTTTTTAATGGGTGTCCATGTTGATAACTTGATTATAATATGGAATCAAAGATTGGGTTACTAGATTTTGATTCGAATTTGATATGGGTTTGGAAAGATTCAGCCGTTGAAGTTTTTTAACTGGAAATTAGGTAAGATTAACTGGGTCAGTATTAAAAGAAGTAGCAAACCTCAAAAGCTGTGGAAATAATAAACTTTAACTATTTATTTATAGATTGGAATCGAATATTTGTTTTTGATTGTGAAATGATTCTTTCTTATTAGGTCAAAGTTGAAATTTGATTCATGTTACCTTTGCTAACATAAAAGATTGGAAATTTGTTAAGTTTCTGATGGTGGATTTCTCTATTTTCTTTATTTGGTTGAAGTTATAGAATAAGCATATGGGTAGTTATACTGATAAGCATTTAGGGTTTTAAGCTTTGTTTTTGCTTTTTTTTTTTTTTGGTCTCCAGCATTTGAGACGTTCAGAAGGTTAAGAAGGTCTTGAGTGATGGCATTGCAAGAGAAGTTAGATAGATTTAATAAGCAGCAGGAGAAGTGTCAGTCGATGCTCTCCAACATTGCCGCAAAATCGGCATCTTCTAGGGTCACCACAACTCCAAAACCTTCACCTGTGGCTGCCTCCCCCTATCCCAGTTCAAGACCCTCTGCATCTGCTCCCGTCAAATTCTCAAATGATACCGAGAGGCTTCAGCACATTAACAGCATTCGGAAAGCTCCTGTTGGAGCTCAGATGAAGCGTGTCATTGACCTTCTTTATCAGGTTCTTTAAACCTTCTTTTTTTAATTTAAAATTTATGCGCCTGATGCAAATAATTAGAGTGTTATGCCTTGTTAACATTTGTCAATGATCTTTATTGTTGCAAGTATCCTTGTCAAAGTCATGGTTTGCTGGCTCAGAGGATAAATCTGTTATGGAGAAAAATTGCTTTTGTTGAGTATCATTGATGGAAATGTGTATAAAAATATGAAATAAAGGAGAAATTCTCTTGTTCATTATGTGCCTGCTTTAGTTTTTTAAAGTTTCTTGCTTCTGATAATGGTCCTGATTAGCATGTGCCTTCTGCTGCTATTTTCTTCTGTTATTCTCATCCTATTGTGGCTATGATAGTTTTACCCTGCATTTCTCATGGTTGTTGATGCAAGTAAAATTTGATAATGCTTTAGCAATTTTTTAGAGTAGTGAATGTAAGTGTTTTTGGGGTCAGAGTTTGAGATAGTAACCAGTAGGTCAGTGCTCCTATAGCAGCATTGTTGTATACTTTTGTAGCCTTTTTGCATTGAACATGTAGGTGTTCTTTGCTGTATTGGAAATATTATTTCTACCCTCCAGTAAGAGAAGCTCAGTTGTGGGATTCTACTATATCATTGATTTCTTCAAGCAGTTTGATTTTATATCAGAGAAGAGTGGGAGACTTAAGATTGTATATGGTATTCACTTTGTGAGATCTGGAAAAAATGGTAGTTGCTGTCAGTGTGGACTTTTTACATGTATCTTTGTTTCTGCTGACATTACTATCAATTATTGAACAGACAATAGTGCTTAGTAAGGAGCTGAAATTTTTAACTATCTCCAAGCTGTAAAGTATGTATTCATGGTTGCAGAAAAGGGAGGCTTACACACCAGAGCAGATCAATGAAGCATGTTATGTTGATGTGAATGGAAACAAAGACGTCTTTGAGGGCTTGAGGAAAAACCCAAAAGTGAAGTATGATGGGAAGCGCTTCTCTTACAAGGTGACATTTACTTGGTCGCTGCTGTGACCTTTTGATAGACTTATTCTTTTTTGGCTTCAGCATCTATATCATAATAAGCATTTTTCCTATTGCTTAGTCTCTTCATAATGGATTACAATTTTGTACATGTTATCCTTACAGGCCAAGCATGATGTAAAAAACAAGAATGAACTTCTTGTTTTGATTCGGAAATTTATAGAAGGCATTGCTGTTATTGATCTCAAGGATGCATACCCAAATGTGATGGAGGACTTGCAGGTATAATTGAGCTGCAGATTTTCCTTCACTTTCTATTTACTCCTATGTCCGTATGTAAGTTTCCATAAGGGGTCTTATTTTTTACTTTCAATTTACATAATTGTATTGAAGCCTTTATTAACTTAATACTTTAGTTTCTTTTGATCTGATTCTTTATTATTATTTCTTTCTAACAATTAAATGCGATAAAAGCAAAGAGTGCAACACCATATTAATGCATAAAGTGGGAGAAACTGTTATGCACATAACCTAGAATTGAAAAGCTTTAAGTTTTGAAATTTACTATTGATAGGAAGGGTATTATATAATTAAATGCATCACAAACTTGTAATTCAACTCTTTTTTAATAATTATTATATTGAGAAATTTCTCAATGAAACTATGCTTGGATACTTTGGTGGGTTGGTTGTTAATTTCCTCATAAAAGGGTCATTGATTTAGGAGATTTTCCCAACAGTTCTGTTAATTGTTGGATGTAAATGATTCAGATGGTTATTTTCTATTGTTCTCATTATACTTATGTTGTTTTGGCTTTTAAGAAAAGCCTTTCACTCAAAAATCTACTTGTTTATGAGTGCTTAATTTCTCCTACTAAATAATTCATTATGTTGGCACAAATTCATTTAAAAAGTACTGATAAATTTAGTAGTTTCTGTTGCAACGGCTACTTATAGTTGTTCTTTTTGTAGGCTCTAAAAGCTGCCGGTCATATTTGGCTGCTATCAAATTTTGACTCACAGGAGGACATTGCCTTCCCGAATGATCCCAGGGTACCTATTAAGGTGGATGACGACCTTAAAGAGTTATTTCGGTCTATTGAATTGCCACGAGACATGCTTGACATTGAGAAAGATCTCCAGAAGAATGGAATGAAACCTGCTACCAACACAGCAAAAAGGAGGGCTGCTGCACAAGTGCAGGGCATTTCCTCCAAGCCCAAGCCCAGGCAGAAACACAAGGAGTTCTCCAAGAAGGCAAAGCTAACAAATGCACATCTTCCAGAACTTTTCCAGAGTCTCAAAAATTCTTGAAGCCAGACATAGATTTACTATGGGGTCAGTGGAGCAGCTGGATTATTTACTTTTTTTAATGGTGAACAATGGATTAATGGTTAAACAAATATAATATATCTGTGCTATATAAACTCCCACTCTCCAACAATCACCGAGAATGCTATGCTACTCTAGACTTCCAAAATCCGACTAAATTGAAATGAGGGCTATCGATGTAGATCAAACTAGCAATTCTTGTTTCTTGTATCTAGCAACACAATTGATCCAATTGTTACTCTTGTAATAATAATAACAGTAATTACATTTTCTTAATGTTTGATTAATTTTTGCAGGCTTTGAAACTTCGAAGTGGAATTTTGGTATCCTTGTTTGTAAAATGAAAAGCCTATTGGTCCAACTTTTTTTTTAATGAGAAAGCCTATTGGTTTCACTAATTACAGAAGGACATGTAGATTTAGATTTAGACTCAGTTATTTCTAGTAAGATCCGAGGGTTTGCATTCCCGCATCAGACAGAGAAATATACATGGTTATTCTTCATAATTCAAAAGCTTCAGAAAAGCTGCCTGAGACCATGTATCAAAATCAAAAGATCCTGTTCTTCCATAGTTGCATTTCTTGTTAACTAGAACGTTATACTAATATTATGGAAATACGGCAACACCATCCCTTGTTTTTTTCCTTTTCAAAGACTGACGATTCATCTTTGAGTCTTTGGATAATTAGAAACACCAAACGTCTGAAAAAAACAGCTAGCACGCATGCATGCATGCATGATAGTTATGTTTCAAGAGAAACTAATGTCTCTGTTTGAAAGTCTGATTTTCTTGTCCCAGTCCAAAAATGTAATGAACATGTAGCTTGTGACAGGAACAGAGTACCAGGTACCCGATACGTCTCTTATACAAAATTCTTGTATGAAAGCAACTTGTTTTCGACAATCCAATCTGTTATGTCCAATTCTACAGATAGGGATGTGTGTGTGTGTGTGTGTGTGTGTGTGTGTATCTTGCTTCTCTTTTGGGTTCTTGCTCCTGATTTGAAATTCATAGATTTTGAGGTCCCATTGACTGATAATTTACGTCTGTCAACTTGTTATTTTGGCTGGACTTTTGCTTGCTAATTCAACTCTTCCATATAATAGAAAATAGAACTTTATCATATTGATAGCAATTCGAATGTATGATAAGTAAAACCTTCCATGTTCCCATTTTTTTTCTATCATGGAAGTAACATCAAGAAAGCCAACAAAATGTGGGTTTGACCCTTGAACCAATAAACGGTTAAGATGTATAAATTAGCAACTAAAATATTCTTTTCATTCTTCTTGTTTTTTAGGTTTTTTTTTTTTTAAAGGCAGAAGAACCAAAATTGCCCCACCATTCACCGTGCGGAATGATGCTGAAACAATTCAACAGTTCTTCCTTCAAATATAAATATAATTAGTACTTTTAGTCGGTGGCCATTACCAATTTAATAGGCCATCTGTTGAATTCAACTTCAATCCAGAGTACATATTCAAGGATTATTGGTTACTTCTTCTTCACCAAGGTCTGACCTTGCAAAAGACTTCCTTGCCTGCAATTCATGATTGCAGAACAAATTTATTCTACTAAAAATATATACTCCATTCAAGTACCTTGCAAGAGTGCAGCTTCCTGGGAAATAAAAATCCAGCTATTTACAATACATGACTTCACATCTCTGATAATCAAACAAATACAATTGCAGTTTCAGCAAAAAGTTTGCATTCTTTTTCTCAAACTGTATCTATTATACATTTCTATCAAGAAAAGGGAAAAAAAAAAAACAAAAAACTGCAGTGTAAGCTGCCTAAATTTTGTATAACTAAATATATATTTAGGATCTGCAAAAAATAGACAAATCAGTTGTGGAGGGGGTTTGGTCCCCCTGGAACTGTTCGATAGGAAGCTTCATGAATTGGTTGACTCTTTGTTGCTTTGGATGCCTCAGGAGACTTTGCAGGGAAATGCCATGTGGAGAATTCTGTCTTGGTTGTTTGCTCAGCTTCACTGCTTAGGCTTCTATGGATGTAGCGGCAACTTGAGGGGTGGATGGCAGCTAGTATGATCATAAAGAACATAAATGAGAATTTGGGACTCCAAATCCTCATGATTTTAATGATGAGAAAGGGGAGAACAGATGATGAGATGAACTGCAAGAAGTTTATGGGATTGAGTTTGCTCACTTATTAAAGAGGCAGGTATGAAGTCTATTAATATGAGATCAAGGCATCAAGCAACCAGTGGTGACGATGTAACCAAAACTAGGAATTAGTTCTTTTGTAATGGCTGAAATACCCTTCATCTTTGGCTAAATCTGCCTTCATGTTATAAATTCTCCACCCAAAACTACAGTAGGAAATTAGTAGTAGGTGTGATTTGTTTCTTCACTTGCATTGACGAATTATCCTTTGGCATTTTAAATTCTGATATCGATAGTACCCTCAAATTACATGCACCAATTTAAATTCAGACTGTTTCTATTATATTTAAATCTCATTACATTATTTACAAAGAGCAAGAATATAATGATTTCAGCTTATTTATATAAGATATAGTTGAACTTAATATCTGTGTTTACACAAATTTTATTTTAATTTATTCTTTTTTTCACCGAAAAAAATCTATTCGTCATACTTGTATTTAAAATTAATCTGCACTATTTTTTTATTTTATAATGCAATTTTTTTTGTTTAAGATTCATTTAATAATATGATACACATTTTATAATCGAATTCTTAAAAATTTAAGTATAAAATAATACCAGAATGCGATAAAAAATTTTCCCACCATACCATGGAATGAACCCTTAAAAAATAAAAGAAAGGAAACAGATATTACAGCAGAGACGACAGGCTAAATTGGTCCATTTGCGTCTGGTGGAGTGCTAACTTGAAAAACCGTATCTAAAGGGCTGCTGTAGGCGTTGACTTTACATTAATTTGGATCGCACTAATACCAATTTGGGTTTTGTTAATTTATTTCGAGCTCAAGATTAATTATTGGTGGTTCTTTCTTAAGGTGATATCATCGACACGTGGCAGCACGATTGCCGTTCCCAGTAGTTTTCTTCATCACATATAATTGCTTCTAAGTGATTGGTACTATTTCAGTTGGAGTAAGAAAGGCTAGCCATCAAATAATTATTATAGGATGGTCCATGAGGAGTTATTGATCTTGTCTAAGACAGACGGGAGTTCTATGTTGACACATTCCTGTCAAGGGTTCCATTTCTTAAGCATTTGAAATTTGTCCCAATAATTAGTGGCAGTTTGATTAAGCATGATAAGTGACGAAAATTGAGATGGAACCAAAAGTTTTGGTTCAAATTAGTTGGTAGGACATCAAAACTTACGATTGGAATGAATATATTTCATGTGGAAAATTGTTTATGGGGATTATATAAAGTGAAAAAAGGAAGAAAGTCGTAGTGACACATCAGCTGACAAGATTTTATTGCTCAAAAGGAGACAATTTTCCTGGAAAGAGAAATGGAAAATATTATGAGATTGTGATATAGAATGATTGTGATTTTGAAGATTGCTGCTTAATTCTTTTTTTTTTCAAGTAGGCCTGTTTGAATGGAAACGAAATTATGAATTTTCCATGCAACAGAATGTGATCATTTTACCCTTCCAGGGTTTCTTTGAAACATTATGAAAACCGCACCAACCCATTGGAATTTAAGCATGATCAGGACATTTAAAGAGGTTACTTTCTTCAAGCTCCATCTACAAAGCCTTAGGTATCTTCAGCTCTAGATGGATATGCCCTTTCCCGACTGCCCTTGTAGGCTGGTTTCATAACAGGCAATTAGATGAAACTTTTGTTGATGCTCCCATTTTAGGTCCAAATGGGGCCCCAAATTAATTATCCATTAAATAGGTGGACCAAGGCACATTTGATTTTGATGGGATCCATACCTGTAAATTCCTTATGCACATTCTCTCTGCTCACCTGGTTAGGCATTTTTTTGTCTGGGATGTAGCGTTTGTCATCAGCCAGAAACAAAAAAAAGGGGATAGAAATAACCTGGACCAGATTGTAGATTATGATCTTTAACTTTTTGTGTGCCTGAGGCATCAGCCTGATCTGAAAGACATAAATATGCATAAACAAGCAATTTCCCAAAGTAAAATTTGCCTAACTTCATCTCACAAAGATAAAAGAGTAGGGTTCACGCTGTTATCAGTTGCCCAACTTGATTTCTTGAAAGGACATCATTACCTAGTGAATTATTTCTTGTCCATTTGTCTCTTTGAATCCAAGGTCATGACATCTATCTATCTTCTCTTTGGATTACAGTTACATCAGATTAAATATTTTCATTAGAGTTAATCAACAATCTGAAAGCATACTGTCAATCTGAGGTAGAGTGAGAACTGTTTATAAGAGACTGGAAATCAATGCTTTGATCATTTTAAATTGACTGAAGATATTGTTTTTCACCGTCAACTCTCAAGAATTTGAAAAGATTGGATTGTTAACAGCTGAACATAATAAATTTTTCCACATATGTAGAAGAATATAGCGGCAACACGCCTTATTCCTATTTCTTTTTTAGAATATGTCCACATTTTGGATTGTGAGCGATTAATATTCATAAGCGATTTTACACTAGAAAACTCAAAGATTTCAGTAAAAATTAACTGAAATCCCCATATATATATATATATATATGTATATATATATTGAAAAATTATTGATGTAATTTTTTATTTGGTGATGGGAAGATCCGATGGAAACTGAAAATAAGGATATATGACCTGTTAAAAAAAATCAACGTGTACCAAAAATTATACTTTGAGACAAGCTCTTATGTTCAAGTGCTAGATTTGCTAGAATATGTCCACATTTTGGATTGTAAGCAATTAATATTCATAAGCGATCTCACACTTTTACCTTGTACTCAGGTGCTTGAGATATATGCTTCTTCAAAAGATGGTGAACAATCTGAAAGTGCAATTCATGTGGTGCACAAGAAGGGATTGCCTAACCTGCATTCATCAAGGAAAATTCTTCAGATAACATCACTGCTGCTAATATTTTGACACAATTATACATCCATTTTAAGTAATTCAAAATTTTTTAAGGACTTGAGAAAAAGTCAAAGTAATCAATCAAAAATTCTAAATTACCTAATTATCCAAATTCCATTGTTTAAAAACAAACATGAGCCTAATTGTATTTTCCTGATAGTAAATGTGTGCAATTATCGCCATTTGTACCTTATCATGAGTTTCTACACAGCCCAGACCCACTGTATCAATGAAGGCATGTTCCCTTTTCA